TGTGTCCCTGAACTTTTTATTAAGCACTGGCTCTCTTTGTAAATTGTTCACCGTATGTGATACATGCACATACACTCTCATCCAACTGTGTTCTTGCTTGCACCTGCTTTGTTGCTGCTGTTGTTTTGTTTTTAAACACATCTCCTCGGCTGGTTGGTTTGTTTAACTCCGAAGGGTGTTGAACTTGAGAGATCTGCAACTGAGTTTTCAGCTGTTCGAACACAACACAACAAAACAAAACAAAACAAAGAAACAACTTGTTTTTATTTTCTCGCCCACATCCAGTTTAAATAACCAAAAGGAGGCGGGAAGGGGGAGGGGGGAGTTCCAGTGTAAACAACACCAAGAGACATTCCAGTTTTGATCTGTGATTTAAAAACGATCATATTAGACACGTCTTGCTTTTCTATAACGTTGATTCTATTGTGTCCGGTCAGATTGAAAATTAAGCAAGAAAAGATGTTTAAGCCTGCCCCAAAGTAGATTCCCTCCTCTTCTGGGATGATCGAGAAGCAAATCCCAGTGCAACTTTTTAACATTGACACCATTGACAACTCTGTTTGCAATGCTGATTCCATTTTTGGGGAGCAACATTTACCGTCGATGCCAAACTTGCTGAGTTCTCTGCTTAAATTCCTTCGGTCCCCCACTCACCTACAGCCCCAACCCTTAACCGTGTATTCCTTTGCACGCCTGTGCTTTGGTGCTAGGAGCGCCATAATCTTCTTTTGCACTACTAAAGCGATCCTGTTTTATTGTGAAAATGTGCTGCACAGGGATGACAGCATTAACATATCTGAGGAGAGATTACAGAGCGGAGTCCAGATTCCGGCTGGATGGACTCCGTCTATAATTGGAATCCTTCGGAGATTTTCTTTTTTTTTTTTTGGACGAGTTGTTCTGTCTATAAACCCATTTTAATAGCTGCCTTGAAGTTCCCTTCATTAATTGGTGGCTGGGACTGAATGGGAGGGGGAAGGGAAGTAGAGACGTGTGTGTGTGTTTGTGTTTCTGTATGTGTGTGTTTGTAACTGTGTGCATGTGTGTGTTAGAACTATGCATGTCTGTGTGTTTATAATGCAACGCTTACAGAGCATCTCCGCATGCATACTTTTTTTTTTTGCACTTCCGTGTCACCAACATCTGTGCATGATTTAAACCTCAACCTTCCTTCAGCTTATCAGCTCTCTCCTCTTTAGCACCGGCTTGATGGCACATGTATAAAATGTATCAGCACAAACTGGATCCTAAAAAGGGCACCAGACGGAAGCAAAATCTCTCCTTTATTTTGTCAATCAACTGCAGCTGTAAATGTCCTTCTTCCCCAACCCCCGTCTCTCTCAACAGGGACAGAGAGGTGGAGGTGGTGGGTTTGCCTCTGTCGAATCCAGCAGTCTCTAGTGTCCCTTGCAAATGTGAATCTCCCCAAAACCTGGTCACTTTTATTGCTTCCTGCGGAAACAGGCAGACCTACCAGGTCTAAGGGAGGAATCTCCCAGCTCTGCTTTATGAATCAAGATTACCGCTTGAGATCACCCTGGCCCATTGTCCTTTCCATTCATGTGCAAGGGAGTGGGTGAGAGGAGGTAGAGATTGGAAAATTCACCCCCCCCCACACACACACACTCACTTTCCTCCCTTGCCCGGAATTTAGAACTATCGACACAAGGGAGGAAGGGGCTGGGGAGGTCTCTGCCCGTCTTGCAAAGCACAGTCACTTGCAATTAGTTCATCTTCTTGGTTGGAATGACCCACCACCCAAATAACTGTTGCACGAGGAAGAGAGAGAGCCAGCGAGCAATCCATTTTGTGTGGGCGCCCATTTCGACATAAATAAGGGCTCGGGTGACCCTAACCCTAAACATCAATAACATATAAAAGCCCTGATCCACCTAATAATGGCCAAATCCGGCTATAAATTTGTAATTCAGCGCTCAAAATGACCTAGCAGGGAGGGATGGGCTCAGGATTATGTGTCTAATAATTGATCTGTGGCGATGCAACCAGCTAGGCTTCAAATATAAACGTCAAATAGTTTAGAGGAGGTTAAAATGTATGTTTGTGTACACATCAAAACACAGTATAGTGTGTATGTATATACATTTATACATTCTGTGTGTGTGTACACACACAGAGAGAATATGTGAGTACACAGATTGTCTGTGTACATACAATATATATAGACACCACGGTGTGCTGCTGTGTACATACACATCTATAACATTTTATCAGCCTCTAAAATATTGTCTGTGTATGCTTTAAGGTTGTCAGTCTGTATTACCAAGGGTCAATTACTATACATATAAACACACATTATATATCAATATATATAAAACTATATCTACAACTAAAATATGGTATAATTATGCTCAAAACCTGCCTCCTTATATCGCCCCAAAGATCTATTGTTATATGTAATATCTCTATGTTTTATGGCCTCTGGCCTATCATGCCAGCCCCTCAGAGCTCTTTTCTGATTTTCGAGCGAAGATCTCAACCCCCCTTTGCCGCCAGGGGAAGTTTGTTGTGTGTTGGAACTTGCCTTTTCATAGATGGACCCCTCCCTCGAAGGCCATGAAACTGTGAATTAGCCAGTTGGACAGGGCATTATATACCAGCTCCCCATCCACACACCCCTCTCACCTCCTGCCCGTCTGGGACAGAGCCCTGCTTAACATACGGGTAAGAACGGCTCTAGATTTCCGTGGAAACAAAAATACCAGAGATCTCCCTACTTATTTGCGAAGGGAAACTCCCGTCTGACTGACCTGTTTCATGCAAACGGCTCTTTTTGTGATCGTCCCCGATTTTCCCCACTTCTCTCCCGCCTCCACACACACACCAACTTGCAGCAACAAGCTGCAGTATGCACTAACTGGTCCCTTTCTGTCCTCTGCGATCTTAACTATCTCCCCCCGCGCCAAACAAAGAAGAATTTGGTGTTTGTGTTGGATGGCGGATCTACACGCACAGGAAACTCGCGGCGTGTAGAAACCGGGGCTGAAATGTGGTGTTTTAACACAAGGGGACGTGAAGAATGTGACGTTTTCTTTTCTTAGCAGGGCCATTAGTTCGGTTATGTGTGTGTGTTATTAAAGGCAAACCTCCCCATATTGATTTCTGCTTAAAAATAGGAGGTCTTCGGTTAGGATGTGGGGTTTTATACCTTTGTAAGTAACGGATCAGCAAAGTACATTTAAATCAGGCGAGATCAGTCCCAAATTCAAAACTATGTTGGGTTTATTTTCATTTTTTCCCCCAACACAGATACTCAGGAATGTGGCACCTCCTCCGAGGGGGTTGCTTTTAAACGAGGACAATTTGTGGTCGATCAGACATATAGCTTCACAACTTAATACAGAAATAATCTTAATAATTTATTGTATTATTATTACATGACTCATACTGAACATTGAACAAAAAGCAGGGAAAGAATAAACACAACCTTTCATTTAAAGGAGGCTTTAAAGCTGGGACTTCCCTTCTCCCAAAAGTTTCCGAGGTAACTAAGCCCCCAAAATAAGTGGCCTGTGACAAAGAGTTCAAACTCCCTTACCAACCTCGATGGCGTCAGTCAAATAGCGCGAGCAGCTTTCAGATTTAGAAAGAAATGGGTTCTGGTGGGACAATAGAGCCCAGGTTTTTTTCTTTCTCCTTTTCGGTAAGCCTGGATGGGTCAGGGTTACCAGGAGCCAGGCCATCACATGCCAAAGAAATCTTGGGATTTTAAGTTTGCCGTGAAGTGAAGCCACGTTCCAGAATCATTAATTCTTTAAACATAAGTAAATAAATCAAATCAAATCCAGAAGGTTGGAAGAAAAAGATGAGAAAAGAAGAAAAGAAGATGGGTGAGTAAAAAAAAAAAAGGAAAGAAAGAAAAAGAAACGCGTCTTCGCTTGTTATTAATTATTATTTATTATTATTATTATTATCAAGGCTATCATTCAGAACAATAAATATAGTAATTGGCAATTAAGAAGCATTGTACTTCAGTTTAAATGATGAATGGTTACAGAGTCAATCCTTCTGAACTCAAAGCAGTAACATTTCATATTTTTTAAAAATAGGTTTGGCTGAAAACCTAGGAAAATTGCATTTTAAAGAAAAAGGTAAAATCTCGTAAAATAATTCTGTATAAAGAGGCTAAAATAAATACAATATAAAACTACACATCGATGCACCTATAGCTGCTAAAAAGGTGATTTCTTAACAAGGAAGACAGCATTAAAATTACCTTGAAAAAGCAGCATACATGTTTTAAAATAGTGCATCTATAAATATATGTGTGTGTTTTTAATGTTAGCATGCATATTTATAGAAATAAGCACATCTGTTTTTCCGGGGTGTGTGCATATACAAATACATTATACATATATAACATCTGCATAAAATGTAGATATAGGCACAGAGTCAAATCTGCCTCTCCCTATCTAATCCTGCAACACGCTCATGTACCACTTGATATTTGTCTGCCTGGCAGCAGCGTGGCTGTTAAATGAAAGGGGTTTTTTTTTTTATGAGTGTTTTACATGGGGGGGGGGGTGTGAAATGTTGGGGTTTTATGACATCACATGGCTAAAGGACCCAATCAGCTTCCAGATTTGAGAAATTATTTGGTGGGGTGTTTCCTATCATATACTGTACTCCGGGAGCTTGTCTTTAAGAAAGGAGCCCAGCAAAAGGTGGGAACTACACGGATTTGTGTGGTGCCCCCCCACCCCGCAAGATTCCATTTCTATTCCACCACCTCCACCTCGCTAGCTGTGTTTGCTTAGCGTCTAACTGGCATTGCCCAGCAAAAGGGGGACCTGCTGGCTGGCTTCTTTTCGGAGAGAGGTTATTTTTGAAGCGGAAGGTGGGGGGAGTCTTGGAGGCGGCAAGATGTTTGGCTTCTTTATTTTTCTTTCTCCCTCTCTGCCTTTTTCGGTTGGGGAGGGGGAAGGGGAGAAATCTAGCCCCAGCGCCGGAGGAGGAACTGGGTATTTGGAAGATGTCACGAATCATTGACTGGAGCGTTTGAAAGGGAAATCCACTGCGTTGCAGCTTCCCCCCAACACACACACCTCTTCTCCCCCTTTTTTTTTTGTGGGTTGGAGTTTGTGATCAAGGAGCGGGAACACAGATGCCCTTCTTCCCAATGACGCCTGGGCAAGAGACCAAGTAAATGCTCCTTGCAACATGTTCGTGACCTGCGAAGGGACCTTCGGGATGGTGCCAGCCACCATGGGTTACAATGGGGAAGCCAGGCCAGGGGAATTCCAGACTGGCTACCAGGAAATCGAAGGGATAAACCTGGGATACTTACAGATCAATGGCACCCAGATGTTTGCTTTGGCGCAGGTCCTCAGCGACCTGTTTAAGGATATCCCCAGGACCACCATCAGCAAGAAGATGGAGACCCTAAAGATCAAGAGCCGCCGCTGCGATCTCAGGGAGCTCCGGACCCTCAAAGCCATCAACTCCGTGCCCACGCGAGCGGTGAAATGCTCGCTCATCTCCAAGGCAGACCTGGAGGCGCTCTGCACCTCCTGCAAGAGCCTCAGCCCCCGGAGGAGGAAGAGGAAGAGGAGAGAGCAGCTACTGCTGCCGGGCCCCGCGGATCTCTTCGACGGCCCCCGGCAGCCGCTGCGCTCCTCCTGCGGAGCCGGCCCCTACTGCACCCAGGAGCCGGGGATCTGCAGCGAGCTGGCCCCCGCGCCCCATCCGCCCGCGGCCGGGCTCTTCCCAAACTATGACAAAGCCACCCGGGGCAGGAAGGGCTACGGCCTGGGGGGCCGCGGGGGGCTCTTCGCCGGCGTGTTGAGCGCCTACCCCCGGGACCTCCAGCTGCTCCACTCGGCAGCCCGCGGGCCGCACGGAGCCGGGCAGGCGTCCCACCAGCCGGAGCCCGGCCGGCCCAAGCGGGGCTCCTGCTGCTCCAAGGGGCTCTTCCCCGAGGAGAAGGGCCAGGGGGCGGCCAGGAAAGGCCGCCTCTTCCCGGGCTCCAAGAGGCAGGGCACCTCGGCCGGCTACTCCAGCGACTCGGATTCCAGCCTGGACTTCGGGGGCTCCAGCCCGGCCACCTCCAGCGACTCGTCGGAGGAGGAGGAGGAAGAGGAGGGGGACACGTCGTGCAGCAGCGAGGAAGGCAGCTCCTCGGAGTCGGAGAGCAGCTCGCTGTGCAGCGGCGACTCGGTGCAGAGCACCCGCTACAGGCAGGCGGCTCTGCCCAGGTTCCAGCCGCTGCCCCACCCCCCCAGAGAGCCCAGCGGGGACGAGAGGCTCCCGGAGCCCCACAAAGCAGCCCTGCGCCCCGATCCCAACCTCCTGCTCCTCTCCCAGCAGCTCTGGGCCAGGACTCTGCGAGCGTCAACTTTGGAAAGTTTGAGGCCGCTTCCAGCTCTGGGAGCCGGGGCCCAGCCGCCGCCGGATCTAGCGTGCGCAAAGCAGGAGCCCCCCTCCTCCCAGTCCTCCCCGAGCTGCAGCTACCCTGGGGGGGACCCACAACAAAAGGCGGGAGGCTGTGGGGAGACAGAGCCCTGCGCCAAAGGGAAGGATTTGCACAAAGATGCCTCGAACAATGCAGCCTCGTTAGGCCCCAGTGACCAAGCAGAGAGGCAGCTCGCTGCTTTAGCCAGGCGATCTGCTTCCCAAGAGCCAGCCCTGGGCTCAGCGCCTCCGCCCTCTGCTCAGGAATTCGCAGGGAGCCTCAGCCCGGCTCCCCAGAGGGTCTTAGGGGAGCCCAGGAGGGAGCATTTCGACAGGCTCATCAGGCAGTCCAAGCTGTGGTGTTATGCAAAGGGGTTTAACGCGGATGGGAAAAGTTTGCGGCCCGGAGGGAGGACGGAGCCGTGCAAAGCGGCCGAGCTCCAATGCCCCGTCTCCAAAGGCGCACCGAGCCCCTTGTCCAACAAAGCTTTGAAAGGCAATGGCTCGGAAAGGAATTCCAAGCGCAGACGCCTTGCCAGAGGCGCTGAGGCAGAACGGCAACAAAACTCCGCAAAGGGGAGGCCACAAAAGACTCCGAGGAGGACTGCCCCAAAGGGGAAGGCCCATTGCAAACGCCTGGCCAGCGCCGGGCCAGCAGCAGGCAGGAATTCCTTCAGCCTCATGGGCAACTTCCCCTGCACCCCTTCGCTGGTAGTGGGGGAGGATGGGGATCTGCGCCCCGCCGCCTCCCTGTGCGTAAAGAACTCCTGCGCGCTCTCCAAAACGCACCCTCTGTGGAGCTGGCAGGTGGGCGGCAGCGCCCTCCCTGTGCCCCCCAGCCTCAAATTCCGGGGCTATGGCCTGGAGGGTTTCTAAACGAGGCCGGATGAATGTTCGCCAGCCGGGTTTACATGCAACAGTTGAGGGAGGGGGCGAGGGAGATGGGAACCGGATTATTCCCAGCGACCCTAGGGATCTGAAGTGCCCAACTGGAGACGCCTTGATTTTCAGGAAGGGTTGAGCACCCCAGCTTCTAACCCCCCCCGAGCGCCCTTTAAGGTGTCTGACTCCCCCAATCAAATGGACCCCCCAAATCACGTTAGGAAACTTTGGCCACATATATCTACTGCTGGACATTTGGAGAGGGGGAGGAAAGGGATTTCAACTCTGGTTTCTGCACGATTTCTTTTTTTTTGGGGGGGGTGTCCACCTTTCGGGGGTTCTGTGAGAAAATAAAACACCCGCCCCCAAACCAGGTCAGCTTGAGGAATACCTCACCCCCTTTACATTCGGTGGTTTATTCCAACCACGGTGATATGGGCTAAAATGTGCATATTGACTGGGAAGTGTTCAAATGGTCCTGCCCTCCCTCCCCTCTCCAAGTGAAACGAGAAATGTCCCTCCCTTCCCATTCACCCCAAGTTAATTGTATATTGTCCCTTCCCACTTCCTCTGCGTTTGTGGGAGAATTTAATGCTGTCAGCCCAACACACATTAAACTGATCTCATCAAAGCTTTCTCTTAAAAAAAAAAAAAAAGCTGAAGCCAGAAAAGAATGGATCTAATTTCTCCTTTCCTTGATACATGCATTGGGTTAAAATAATAACAATCACATGCAGAGAGAAAGAATGATCTCTCCTATAGAAGAAATACCCCCTCTTTTGCATTAATCAATCTCATACGAAAAATTGCAAGCAGCTATTTAAACTAAATCATCTACTTTATCTACCAAAGAGAACCCCCCCCCCGCCCACGAAAAAGAATAGGGAGTTCTGTCTGCAAAAAGAAAACAGGCGGGTTTCAGAGGAAGTTATTGGAAACTGCTGCATGTAAATGAAAAGGAAAAAAAGAGTTGTTTGCTGGATACCCTAAGTCGGATCGCCTAAAGGTAGCAGGCCTGTAAAAGCTTTATTGGCGCAAGAAATAGGAGCCAGGCGCATTAGGAATAAAGTGCAGATGGACAATTTGATCTCTATTAAGTTCCAAAGTGGAATGCGGAGAAGAATGTTGAGAGAAAGTTTCTCTTCTCTGTAAAGGAAATCATATCTCAGTCTAACTCTTCTTACAAACCAGTGTCTTTGGAACTGGCCCTTTCGACTCTTTCTGATTTGATTTCACCCCTCTCGGACATCAAAGTTCAACTGGCTCTGAAGTCTGTTCTGTTCTGGAAATGTTAGACAAATCAAAGCGAGTGGGAGCTTTTTTGCTTTTCTCCCACTCCTTTCCAGCATAAAATATTTTCAACAAACCGCGGATCTGACACAGTCTGAGACCATGCGATTCCCTCCATTTCAACACATTGGTGTGAATGTTTTAATTCCCCCCTCTATAGTGTTATAATTGACTCCAGCAGACATCCTATACACGGGGTTTTACTTCCAATAGAAAGAAAGAAAGAAAGAAAGAAAGAAAGAAAGAAAGAAAGAAAGA